GGTTCTACGAATTCTAACTTAAATCCAGCATTTGTTACCTTTGTTATGTCGAAATTGTCCCATATAGATCCCCCAGTATTTGCCTCATGGGCAATCTCCATGATCTCTGCTTCATCAGCCCACGATAATTTTCCACTCCCAGCCCCAGTTTCCGGCGAATTTGGTGAGGTTTTTGAGGATCCCTCACCCAATTCTGAACTTCGCAACTCCGATGGACTTACATTTAGTGAATTTTCCCTTAAATCCACATCAATTTCCTTTTCCTTCTTCTTCTCCTCACTGCATGCTACTGTTGCATCGCTTCCATTAATTTTCACTTTTTCAAACTGTTTCTCGAGATTCAGACCTTGCTTGCCTTCATCATTCTTCTTCCGTTGCTGTTGTTGTATATATTTATTATACTTTTGGTCAATATTGCCTATGTCGTTGAGAAAACTCTCGTTTTGCGCTTGACCCTTAATGGAGTTTCAACGTGAGGATAATTTTAAACTATAGTAAAAAAAAAAATCAAAAGGAAATTTGGAACTTTTTTCTCGAAACTTTTGAAAATGTAGAGTCCATACAATTCATGTTGGAAGTCCATTAATGGCGGGGCAAATACGAGATAATTTGCTTACACCAAAGAAATGAATGAACCAAAAATTTAAGCGAGAACAAAATTGTTCTATTTCATATAGTACAAATAATAAATTTGGAGCTTTTCCCTAATAAGTACAGCATGCGTACATCTCATTTATATGTTACAATATTGTTATTTGTGAAGTCTAATATTTCTTTTTTCTTTTCTGTAGTAGCAATATATTTTCACATTAAGTTCTCTATAAATGATTAACCATGTTTGGTACGAATGTGTGATATTCTTATGTAATTCTTAAATAAGTACATTCTTATTCAAATATTCAACATTTTAATTTCCGAATAATACTAAAATTAAATGAATGGACCCTCAATCCGAACTTATTGTCCTTTTAGACAAAGAGTAATAATTAACAGAAGAAAAAGAGGAATAGTTTTCATATGGAGACAAGAACTTCCAACCCATACTCTACTTTCCTCTTTAGTCTTTTTAGTTTTAATAAAAGAGTAGTCCAGGTATTCAATCATATCCATATAACAAAAATAACAGCAAAATTTATTGTAAAGTGGATTAGGATAGATAGGGGGAGAACCCCACCACTTTGCATTCTATTCAAATTGGCCCCAACATTTAAGGCACTTCATTACTTTGTCGTCCTATTTTCCCTAATCTATTGATTTTTCAATGTAACTTTTAACGAACTTTTTTTTGCTTTATGTCGGAAGGTTCTTCTGGCTTTGTTGCATCAATATAATGTATCATCTTCAAAGAAATTAGGCTTTTACTTGCAATTTGGATTCAATCTATATAATTCAAATTAGAAACTAATGTTCCAATTTAATAATTGAAATTTCATTTTACACTTGATTGGTGCGACATTCAAAATCTGCCGTGCCATTTTCCCTTTCCTTGCTTCCTCTTTTTTCTATTCAAAGATCTACCCTCTCCCCCACCCCCACCCCCCCAAAAAAAAAAGACAACCTGGTCCACAAAGTATCCCGCTTTCATGCAGGATCCGTGAGATGACCACATCTCAAGGGGTGTAATGTAGACAGCCTACCTTGATACAAGAATAAGTGGCTGATTCCACGACTCGAACCCGTAACCTATAGATCATACAGAGACAATTTCACCTTTGCTCGATCCAAGGCTCACCTTCAACATATTTTATTCAAGAAACAAGTATCCAACATTTTTTCGAACTTGTATGGTGAAATGAATTATATATAATAAAAATATAACACATATTAGGTGATCTTTTTTGAGTGAAATTTTCGCAACATTATCTTGTTGATTGATTAGATTCTAATTACATGTACATAATTATGCTTAATTTCTTTTTATTGCAATCTCCGCATTGATTTATACCATCCTTTTGTTTTTGGTCCACCTCCCAACAAAGGTTGCTAGGGTAGAGAGGAGTCGACAAGAATTAAAAGGGACTTAAATAAGTTTGGCAACCTATCGAAACCAATTAGTACTTCAAAGTTTTTAACTCTAATTATGTTCGTACCCTCTAAATTAGATAGTAAGTAGTACCACCTATTTGTCTCTTGGAACTTAATCATTTTTTAATTTTTTTTTGTTTTCTTTACAATTAATAGTACATCTTCCCATTGGTTTTTCCTTTTTTTTCTTTCTCCCAAAAAACATAAAATCAAGATCATTTAATGTTTTTAAATATATTTTCATAATTCCAATTTTCTTGTCCTTTACATCCTTTCGCGTTCAGTTTTTTCGCTATCGAAACGAGGAAATAAAATATACTGGTAATAAAATAATGAAAAGTTAGTTATTTGACTTTCAAAAAGAGAAAAGGGACAATCATTTTAACTCATGGAGTTGAATTTAACCATGTAATCACTATCTACACCACAATTTTGGTGACCCTAGGTGTTCTTTTGGGTCAGAAACCCCCCCTCCCCCCTCCCGCCACCCACCCCGCAAGGTGTACTTTTGTAAAGCTAGCAGCTCAATGAACAAATTGTGTGAGAGTAAAATTTAGAGTAATACCACAAAGTCCATAAGTAGAGCTAGTTTTTAGAGGGGACGCTTAGAATGATAAAATATAGAGTTACCAAAATATAACACTTGTATTTTGTGAAAGAATTTAAACATTTAACTTTAGAATCATATGGCACCGAATAAAATTATCCAGAACTATTATAAGCTTTTCTGGATACCCTTATATGACGAAATAGAAATAAATGTATACCATCATGTATTGAGAAGAAATTCATATAAATATTCCCAAATGTATCCTCTACCATCATGTTTTCTCCCGTCCTTTATTTTTTGTTTCTCGCTCGGTGTCAGATACCCGCATTGGAGCTCGATTATATTCAAATTTTATACCGCGTAAGGCCCCATTCGAGGAAAACGCTCCCTACCAGGGATTTTTCATTCCCAAAAACTCGACCCCGAGACCTATATATATGATTAAGGGAAGAGCAACTCCATCCGTTACGCTACATCATGTGGTGGTCCAGTACTCCTTTATTTACTTATTCTTATTATCCTACAATTCAAACAAAGCTCATAACGTTTGAGGGTTGATTATGCCCATATAATCAAGTGAAGGTGAAACAAGAAAAGAAAAACTCCAAACAATTGTTTTTTTAAAGAAAAAAAAAAGGCAAAAAATGTCTACGTCTAATTTGACTTTGGAAGAAAGAAGGGAACTCAAGTCATGCATGTTATAAGGTACTTAACGATAACTAAAAAGAAGCACAATTTTTCAAATTTAAGTCAATCAAAGTTACGTTAACTGAAGGAATATAATTGAACTGTTGAACCAAATAAAGGTGCTTTATTCATGCCATTTGGTTGATTATTATTTAACCAACATTAATTTAAACAGTTACATTTTCTCCAGAGTTGATGAGCTGTAACTAACTAATATAACACTCATTTTGTGGACCAAGAATCTATCAGAAAATAAGCCTCATTTTATTCTTAAAATAACCATATTATAAGGTATGAAATTTGCATGATTGGATTTTAGGTAAGCAAAATACCAAAACTTTAACTAACCTTTTATTGTTTTTTCATTCATGCCAAACTATGAAACTGATTGCTTGTTATAAGGATTTCATTTTATTTTTTTAATTTTCGAAAAAGTTCGCAGTGTTAATTTGTGGTATTGTCGTATCTTAAACCATTCAAAAGAGGATTTGTTCCAAATAACACTCCAATTCACGTAATGCATGTATTTGCTTCTTTATTCTAAGTATTTTTTAGCAGTTTTAATTAATTCGCTCAAGATACACACATATTTTTAGCAGTTTTAATTAACTTGCTCAAAATACACCCCGAGGGAATTAAAGTAACTTTTTACTCGTTCTTTTCAACGCCACAATAACTACATAGATTATTTATTATCGTACCATGATGAATTTGTAGTATTGTTTCTAAAATTTGAATCAGTGTTGCAACCTTTTTCTGCCCGCCTAGGTAAAAATATGTTTTATATATATCCAAATGGTCTTTCCACTCTACTAAATTTACTTACTAACATTCTTAAGTTATTATACTTTAATAGTGTAAAGATTTTTTATACAATTAATAATAATTTTTTATACAATTAATAATAGTTGACTTATTAAAACACGTGGATTATCCGTTTTATCATGTTACCAATTAGCGCGTATCATAAATTTTATTTGTGATTACCTTATAAGTAATTTATTTGTGTAGACACACAATTTACACCATGGATTAAAAAAATAAACTCATTGACTTATAAGCTATATATATAGTGCAATGGTATCTTTCATATCCTCTTTTGCTATCTTGGATTTAGTTTTCTAAATATATTGTTTTGCTATTAGTGACTTGCTATCAGTGCTTCTTCCATCTTTTCTTTTGTTGGAGGTGCTAATTATTTAACATCTGCCATGGCAATTTTAGATGAAGAAGAAAGTCAGTCAAGGATTTCAGATGAGAAAAGTATTTTAGGTTTTAGTTCGAAGGAGAATGACTTTGGTCGGAACAACCAAAGCTTCTTATCCCATCACAATTCTTTTGATCTCAGCCGTTCATCTCAATGCCAGACATTCAATCACAATTACACATCTCATATGGAGTCTATTTAATCAAGACCATTGATTCATTACGGCTGTAGACTTAGGATTCTATTTTGTGCATATGAGCACGTGACTGTACAGAAGGATTTATATCCTTATATTCTTTGCATAGTAGTACAATTAGTTAGGACTAGGCAAATAGAAATACTATACCTGTACAGTAGGATAACAAGATTTTATTCCTTTTTATCTGTATAAATAGATACATAGCAATTGAATGAAATACAGAGAATTTCTACACTATCCGCTTCATACAATTCCTTCATGGTATCAGAGCAATAGAAGCTCGATCTTTCATCTCTTTCTCTCTTTGATTGCTCTGTGTAAGGATTTGAACCATGGGTGACAATACTGAGCCAACGGTCAACCAAACTGCTACAGCTGTAGTGTCCATCATCGATTCCAATCATGACTATTTTCTTCATTCCTCTGATGCTCCAGGGATATCTCTTGTCAACACTGTCTTTGATGGCAGAGGATTTCAAGGTTGGAAAAGATCAGTGCTCATTGCCCTGTGAGCCAAGAATAAGATAGGGTTCATCAATGGGGCTTGTCCTGCTCCAGCTGCAGGTTCCAAGGATTTCCAGCAATGGAACAGGTGTAACGATATGGTTACATCCTGGTTACTCAATTCACTATCCAAGGATATAGGGGATAGTGTCATTTACTCAAAGTTTGCCAAAGATCTGTGGACCAGCTTGGAGCACAAATTTGTACAGTCAAATGGAGCCAAGCTCTATCACCTGAGGAAAGAGTTATCAGGGTTAGCACAAGGGACAAGTGACATTGCAAGCTATTTCACAAAGCTCAAACGACTTTGGGATGAGCTGGATTCATTAAATTGTGATGTCAAGTGCAACTGTTTATGTGTGTGTGAAGGAAGGCAGAAACTAGAGAAATTACTAGAAGATGAGAGACTTATTCAATTCCTTATGGGTTTGAATGATAGCTATGGACAAGCAAGAGGAAACATCCTAATGATGAATCCTTTACCAAACATCAATCATGCTTACTCTCTAGAATTGCAAGATGAAAGTCAAAAAGAAATCTATGTTAATCCACTTATCCCTCCTGATTCTTCAGTTTTCATGATAAAAACCCAAGGAAACTTTGCTCAAAAAGGAGAAAAGCAGAACCAAAAGGGAAATACAAGTTATCCAAGGTTTGGAAATAACATGCATAAAGGAACCAATAACTTCAACCAGAGAAATCCAACCTTCAAAGGAAAGAAAAGCAAGTTCAATCCTAATGTTTCTTGCAGTCATTGCAAGAAAGTTGGACATACTGTGAATGATTGCTACAGAATAATAGGATTCCCAGAAGATTTTGAGTTCACAAAGGGAAATCAAATGCAAGTGAGAGGAAATGGAGCTTTTCAAATGGGACAAGCAGGCAACAACAATACTGGTCAGGATGAGATGATCAGCCAACACCTCTCACAAGATCAATTCTCTCAGCTGGTGCAACTAATCAAGCAAGTTAAGGTTGGAGATTCGGCAAATTCAGGAGCAGAAATAAATGTAAATGCAGTAGCTGGTACAATTGCAAGATATTCTGGAACTTGTTTCTCAGTTTTTAATTCTAATGCATGAATTAATGATTCTGGAGCTTCTGAACACATGTGTTTTGACTCAAATGCCTTCATTTCTTTGACAACCTTGCCCATTCCTTTAAACATAAGCTTGCCTAATTTTTTTAAAGTCACAGTTACTCATGTAGGGAGAATAACTATTCTGCCTAATTATATTCTGGAAAATGTATTACATGTGCCTAGTTTCATATACAACTTATTATCTGTTAACAGGTTCTGTTTACAATTTCAGTCACTCCTGTTTTTCACTTCAAGTCAATGTTTCTTGCAGGCCCCTTTAGTGAAGAGGGCACAAGTTTTTGGTGAAGCTAGGGAAGGACTTTACCTTTTGAAACCAAGTCAAGACAAGAATAGAACAGAAGTAGAGTCAAGTCTTTGTTTAGATCAAAATATTTCTAGTCAATTATCAGTTTCAGTTCCTTTTTCAGCAAATGCAATTTCAGATGTAAACCTTTGGCATGTTAGACTAGGGCATTTGCCCTTCTCATCAATGAAACATCTTAGCTTTATCTCTTTACCTTCTAACTCTAATTGTTTCTGTGACATCTGCCCTAAAGCTAGGCAAACCAGAACTTCTTTCCCTCTAAGTCAAATCAAAACAAAAAAGCCATTTGAGTTAATTCATGTTGATGTTTGGGGTCTATATAAAGTGGCCACTTATAATGGTTTCAAATATTTCTTGACTATTGTAGATGATTACAGTAGGGGTGCTTGGACTTTTCTTATGAGTACTAAGTGTAATGCATTTGGTCTTCTTAAGAATTTTTTCACAATGGTGGAGAGACAATTTGGTTTAAAGGTGCAGAAACTTAGGACTGATAATGCATTTAAGCTTGGAAAGGGATCACTAGAGGCATCATTCCTCAGTTCACAGGGAATAATGCATCAAACATCATGTGTGGCAACACCACAACAAAATGGTGTGGTTGAGAGGAAGCATAGACACCATTTGGAGATAGCAAGGGCTTTATTATTTCAATCTAAGGTTCCTTTGATCTACTGGGGGGAATGTGTGCTAACTGCTACATTTTTAATCAATAGGCTACCTTCTAAGGTGCTTAAGGGGAGTTCACCTTACAGTGTGCTGTTTAAATAGAATCCTTCCTATGACTCATTAAAATGTTTTGGTTGTCTTTGCTATGTGTCTACCTTGTCTGCTGGAAGAGGGAAACTTGATCCAAGGGCTAAGCCATGTGTGTTCATGGGATATCCTTTGGGGCAGAAAGGATATAAAGTCCTAGACTTGGAGACCAAGAGAATGACAGTGTCTAGAGATGTCCAATTCTATGAAAATCAATATCCCTTTGCATACATCAAGCTAATTCCAAATTCCATTTTTCTTATTCCTCCTACCTCAAATTATGAGCCTCCATCAGACCATGTCCAACCTGATTTTGTCACATCAGTGGAGAATTCTCAATCACTAACTCAGTCCAGTAACCATAACATTCCTCACACACCTCAGTCTTCTTCCACTCCTTTTTCACCCTCATCTCCTCATTCCCCTTTACCTATAACATTCCCAGAAATCAGGAAATCCACCAAAACTCACAACAACCTGCATACCTACAAGATTATATTTTCAACTCAGTTTTTCTTACTGATTTGACTAATTCTTGTCTCATGGGACCTGTTCAACCTAATGTCCTACCATTTGCATCACTTTCACTTGCAAATCAGTCCTTAATTAATTCTACTTCCTATCTAACTGAACCTACCTCCTACTCTCAGGCTATGTTGCATCCAGGTTGGCAAGAGGCTATGGCTAAGGAATTGGAAGCCCTTGAATTGAATAGAACTTGGGAAGTAGTTCCTTTACCTACTGGGAAGAAAGCTCTTCCCTGTAAATGGGTGTATAAAGTTAAGTACAAATCAGATGGCTCCTTGGAGAGGTTTAAGGCACGATTAGTTATCAGGGGAGATACACAAAGAGAAGGAATAGATTTCACTGAGACCTTCTCTCCAGTTGTCAAGATGACAACAATCAGATGCCTACTTGCTATTGCAGTAAAGAAAGGATGGCAAGTTTCACAATTAGATGTAAACTATGCCTTCCTGCATGTAGATTTACAGGAAGAGGTATTTATGAAATTCCCGGCAGGAATGTCATCACCTTCACCCAATCATGTTTGTCTTTTAAAAAAATCCCTATATGGACTGCGACAAGCCTCAAGACAATGGTATGCAAGGCTCACCGCAACCCTAAATTTCAAAGGTTATTCACACTCTCTCAATGACTACTCCTTATTTTTTAAGAAATCAGCAAGAAAGACAACTATAGTTGCAGTCTACGTTGATGATATTCTAATCACAGAGAATGACCCAACAGAGCAGACAGAGCTTAAAAGTTTTCTTGATTCTGAATTCAAAATCAAAGATCTAGGAGAAGCACATTATTTTTTGGGTTTCGAAATCATCAAGGAAAAACAAGGCATGATTTTAACTCAAAAGCGATATACCTTAGATCTTTTGTCTGAATTTGACTGCATGGAAATGAGACCAGCCTATTCTCCTTTGGATCCCACTCAGAAACTTCGTTCAGATGAAGGAAAGCTGCTCCAAGATCCCACTTTTTATCGTCGATTATTGGGGAAATTAAATTTCCTCACTCATACCCGACCGGACCTCTCCTTTGCTGTGCAACACCTCAGCCAGTTCATGCAATCACCTCGCCAGCCTCATCTCGATGTTGCTTATCATTGCCTCAAGTACCTCTTAAAATATCCTGGTCTGGGGTTGTTTTTGAATTCGAGATCTGACTTTCAGTTGATGGCTTTTTGCGACTTCGATTGGGGGTCTTGTCCTCAATCCCGAAAATCCATCAGCGGATTCTTTTTCAGCTTGGGAGGGTCTCCTATTTCCTAGAAATCAAAGAAACAGTCTTCAGTATCCCTTTCTTTTGCTGAGGCAGAATATCGCTCAATGAGAAGTGTAATGGCAGAAATTACCTGGTTGGTACGTTTATTAAGTGATTTATCAATCGCTCCTTCCTTGCCCGTCAATCTCTTCTCCGATAGCCAAGCGGCTATTCACATCGCCAAAAATCCAGTCTTTCACGAACGTACCAAGCACGTGGAACTGGATTGTCATTTTGTCCGGCAGCAATTTTTGGTCGGGATCATCTCGCTCTCATATGTCTCTTCCACATCTCAGTTGGCCGACATCTTTACAAAGCCCTTAGCCGGCCCTGCTCACAGCTCTATCATCGGCAAGTTGGGAGTGGTTAATACCCCCTCCAACTTGAGGGGGGAGGGGGTGTTGGAGGTGCTAATTATTTAACATCTGCCATGGCAATTTTAGATGAAGAAGAAAGTCAGTCAAGGATTTCAGATGAGAAAAGTATTTTAGGTTTTAGTTCGAAGGAGAATGACTTTGGTCGGAACAACCAAAGCTTCTTATCCCATCACAGTTCTTTTGATCTCAGCCGTTCATCTCAGTGCCAGATATTCAATCGCAATCACACATCTCATATGGAGTCTATTTAATCAAGACCGTTGATTCATTACAGCTGTAGACTTAGGATTCTATTTTGTGCATATGAGCACGTGACTGTACAGAAGGATTTATATCCTTATATTCTTTGCATAGTAGTACAATTAGTTAGGACTAGGAAAATAGAAATACTACACCTGTACAGTAGGATAACAAGATTTTATTCCTTTTTATCTGTATAAATAGATACACAGTAATTGAATGAAATACAGAGAAAATTTCTACAATATCTGCTTCATACAATTCCTTTATCTTTAGCCGAGAGTCTATCGGAAACAGTCTCTCTGCCCTTAAAGGATAGGGGTAAAACTGCGTACATCATACCCTTCCCAAATCCCACTTGTAAGATTACACCGGTTGTTGTTGTTATATATAGTGCAATGATATATCTTTTCTTGTATAATAATCCGTACGCTAAACATCACTTACTTTCCTTTTGGCGGTTTACTTTTTCCTTTTCTCTCTAATTCTTCTCCTTTTAGGTTCGACAATTTTTAATTTTCTTTTAAACTAGGTACGATACTCAAGACCTAGTATTTCAAGGTTTAATTACAATTTATGGTAGTAGCAGAAACAGACATACTCAGGGGTAGATTTGAGGACAGTTTATGGGCATGTGAACTCATGGTCTCTCTGTCAAACTAGGTATTTTATGGGTAAAAACTTATTTGCACCGGGTATTTATACCTAACCAATAGATACATGACATGTATCTTGCATATGGACTTCAATCATTTAACCATGGTAAATTATATGCATTCTCATCTTATTAAATTAGTTAACCATGGTGAGTTAATATAGTTTGATGTAAACACCCGGTGTGGGTAAGTATTTACCGTATTTTATGTATGTATTTTCTAGAATTAGTCGGATATTATCTGTTGGCATGAACCACAAAGATTGAATGGTGCAGTTGGTTGAATATTGAGTTACTTACACAAAGGAACATGATCAATTCTCACTTAATATTTTTTTCTCCTTTCTTTAGTGGTGCACCTACGTTTTAGAAATCTCATATCCGTCTTTGGACATACATAATGTTAGGTCTGTAATAATATTACGAGCGAAAAGTAGTGTAACGTTTTAAACCTCGATGTTTTTGTATCTGTAGTAATATTACGAGTGAAAAATAGCGTAACGATTTAACCCTTGATGTCTTTATAGTGAAAAGAGAGGGAGAAATAGTTAAAATTTAAAAATCTAAGCATTGTTAATGATGCAATAATTATTTATACAATCATATTATTATAATTATATCCTATAATAAATACTAATTAGTAATAAAGTAAAAATAATAACTAACGTGTTATTCCATGTTAAACTAAATTGATCATGTAAAAAGTGTTTACACTGCCACATATTCTCAAAAAGTTTGTGCCCAATATATATAGTGACAACTGGTAGGGAAATGTACGTTTTAAGATACGCGGTCAAACAGAATTAGTTAAAATAATTTCAGTTAGCACTCTATAATTACTCCGTTAAAATTAATGACCGTTCATGTATTAAGAATAATTGAGCCACTAGCTCTAGCCGTTTGACTGAATCAATAAGTTAATAACCGACAAACAATTGTACTCCAATATAGTGGCGAATGTGTCTCCTGACATGATTTTCATTTAATTTACCGACAGTTTTTTTAATATTTTATTTCATAATTCCATAATTTTTTAAAATTGGGACACTATTTTTTTTCTTTTTCATTTTTCTCTTCCATTTTCCCCTAGTAAAAATAATGCATGGCTAGAAGTAGGGGTGTCAATGGTTCGGTTCGGCCGGTTATTTTATAAATTTTGTACCATACCAATTTTTCGGTTATTCTATTATGTATAACCAAAATTAGACTTTTCGAAACCGTCCCAATCACGTCGGTTTCTCTTCGGTATTGGCACGGTTCGGTAAATTTTCGGTAATTTTTTAAAATGTCATGTAAAAGTTACTAGTAGAAGTAGAATGCAATAACATACGTACTTTTATATGACTTAGCAAAACTCCCTAAATATTTTTACAGTTTAAAAGGTGATGAATTAAGAAAATATGAAAGATCGCTAGAGTATAGATCCATCAAATATTCTACAGCAGCGTAAACGAAACTAAGCAAAAATAAAAAAAATATAAATCACACAAGTGGAAAGATGTTAATCAAGTTGATATTCAAGAATAAAGTCTATAGAAGATTAAACATTTCAAAAAGATAAATCAAATTCATACGAAAGAAAATATATTCAATACATTGTAAGTTTGCTACTACTAATCGCTACAATACCTTGTGTCTTGCTAGTGAATATGCTGGAAATATTTTAGTTTCAAAGAAGTAGCATAATAGGTTTGTGAATTAGGATTTTGAGTTTAATTACTTGTAGGTTTGGAACTATTTCATAATTCCAAGGCCCAAGAAAAAATTTAATGCTTTATTATTTTTAAACTTAACATATAAATATATTTTTCACATTGTAAATTTATTCGGTACGGTTCGGTATTTTTTCGGTTTATTTTCATAAAATAAAAAACCTACCCTAATTATCGGTACGGTTATAGATTTAAAAAAAAACTACGATTTTATTAAAAGAAACCTAAAAATCGGTTGGGTACGGTACGGTTCGGTCGGTTTAGTCGGTTTTTAAATATCCATTGACGCCCCTAGCTAGAAGGATCCTTAACATAGAAGTGTTCCGTGTTTGATTTAGATATCCGAGGCTTCTTCCACATTTGCGTAAAAATTTTATTCGATGTGTTTGTAAAATATATTTGGATAATTGTATGGGTCAAAAATTACTCCTGATATGATCAAACCATGTTAAAATTAAGGAGGCATTTGCGGACTGCCACTTGTCATCAGTACGACTTCAACGAAGACCTGCCCAAGGTCGAAGTGGTTCTTGAAGCAATAACGGGTGCGGTTGAAGAGTTAGCAAAGATCAAGGTCGAGAAGTCGTCGTAGATCAAGGTCATGGTCGAGCATCTTAGACATTGGTTATAACGACTAGTTTTGGGATAAGACAAAAAGGAGGAGAATATTCTAGTGGATATTTTCCGTACCTGTACTATCAGGGTTTTTAGGAATATGTTCCGTACAAAGAAAAAGAGACACAATGCTAGGGGACATGAGATATTCAC